AGACAGGGGTTATATTCAGTACATAATTAATCTATGTATAAATACAGGAGAATATAAACGTATAGTTAGTAATTGTAAGTCTATGGGGAGTGCATCGATTGTTTTGAAATCATTATGATTTATTTATATGTTGTTACTTTTGTATTTAATTAAATGTTAAATTAAATGTTAGTTTACTTACTAAATAATATATAAAATGGTTGTAAAAGAAACCGACGAAACGTCTAATAAGTATACAAATAAAAAACAATTATAATTTTAATAAACCGTTAATTAATTGTAATTTTGAAACAATGAAACAGTGATAACAACAATACAAACACATTGGAAAATAATGAGAGCAAAGAGCCTAAAAGGACACCGGTATCGTTTCTATCGCTGGTATGTTAATTCACCATGATTATAATTTAATATAATTAATAAAACAATAAGCATGATTAAATTCTTTCATATATTTAAAGCAATAAATACAAGTACAATAAGTTCAATATTGTACAAAAACATACGCAACTGTCAATACGTTTGATTGCATAATCAGATTAAAACAAATTGCTATATAAATTATATAATCAATAACACAATACATGCCATTCACATGACATACCTGTGCTTTTTAAACATAGTTTGGTTACGCGTCCGGTGCGGACAAACTGCTAATACTGATCGGATCGGTGTTTGCCATAGTGATAGGGGCCGGACTGCCGGCCATTATGATCTTCATGGGTGAGCTGTCGGCCACATTCATTGAGTACGAAATGCTGAACCAATTGTCCAAATGGCCGACCGCTGGCGACTACTACTCCAAAACACTCGCCATCATTACAGACAAACAAGTGTTTTTGGACACAATGTTGCGCGACTTACCCGACTTTCATCTTGATGTGATTAGGATTAAGCTCAAAGTGGACAATCAGACCTATGTGGATTTATTGAACAAGACAGTTTTTCATGGTGACAGAGGTTTTGAGACCAAGTTCCTGCACGATAGCGATCAGTATAATTATTTAATGTTTGGTGTGGCCGTGGCTTTCCTACTGTGCGGCTACGCTATGGTTACCACGTTTAGTATTGCGGCCAATAATCAGATCCAACGCATACGTGTGCTCTTTTTCCAGGCCATACTCCGACAGGACATCACGTGGTTTGATACTAAAACCAGCGGTGATTTTGCTACCAAAGTGACCGCGTACGTTAAAAAAAAAAGTTTTTAACATACATTATTAAGTTGACAATATTTATGTTAACCATATTTATTGTTTTTGTTGTTGATTATGACTACAGATGGTTAGGTTTTTAAAAATCTAGTTTAATTGAACAGAAATTTTCTATTAATTATACAAATTTTATACCAGTTTTATGTATTATGATAACATTATTTACCTTAATTATTTTTTGCATAGTGATTTTACTGGAAAAACACAATATTACAACTTTTAATTACTTGTTATTTTGTTTTTTAATTACTTATAATTAAATTAATTATATTAAACAGAGATCTAAATAAACTACAAGAAGGCATCGGCGATAAGGTTAGTAAACCTAATAAAATTAATCTCAAATAAATATTTAATTACTGTTTAAGTAAATAATGACATATTTTTCCATACATTTCCATTCTCTATGCAATCGTATCGTTAAAACAAAACAAACTGTAAACTAACCCAAACCTAACCGTGCATTTTGGGCGCTATTGTCCGGACATTTAGGTCTCATTATGTATATTCTCATTCTCGACGGTGTTTTGCTCGTTGGGCACCGCTCTGTACTACGGCTGGGAGCTAACCTTGGTCATACTGTCCATCACACCCGTGCTGATCATCGCATTCGCTATAATTGCCAAGGTAAAAAACGCAAACCAACCCAAACCTCACCTAACATTACCCCGATCACAATGACACCCACCATATCATGCCTACCCCTATCAGATTCAGGCCAAATACTCGACGAGCGAAGCGGACTCGTACGGCAAGGCCGGGGCGGTGGCCGAGGAGGTGTTGGGCGCCGTGCGGACAGTGTACGCGTTTGACGGCCAACGGCGTGAGATAGACCGGTACAGCAAACACCTGGAGCCGG